GAGGGTCTCAATTTATACATGTAAAGGGAAGACAAGAAGAGTCTCCAGCCTTTAAGGCTGGTCATTAAAACACCAAGCATCCATAGCCCCTTTCCAAAAATATGAAAGTTTGGATGCGCAAAGGATTCACACCCTTTAGCCAAGAAAAAAGATTTAAATACTCTTTAAAATCCTATTCATGAATCTAACATCATGAGGCAATTTCTTTGCAATTTCTTATTTAAAACCCAATGGTTTTGGCTCACTTGGAGCTAACACAATAAAAGGTTGGGACCCACTTTAATATTTAATTAAAGTCACTACACTTTAATATTAAATTAAAGTCAGCAAAAATCATTTTTTTCAACGATAATTAATAATATATGTATATATATATATATATATAAAATATAATTAGATATAAGAAAATAATATTAAAAGTCTATGATTTTTTTTAAATATAAATAAATAATAATTTTAAAAGTCTCACTGTTTATATATATGAAAATAAAAAAAAATATTTAGTGTGTTAAGAATTTAAATGATTCTTAATTATTTTGATAATTAAAATGTGATCGGATATTTGCGGGTATCCGCGAGGGTGGGGGTGGGGTTGAAAAATTGGGTCTGGCTTTGGTCCAGTCCACCATCGGACTGGATCATGCTGTTGGGCCTGTGGGGACCTATCACGGGTCCCGTTTTAAAAATCTGAACCGTTTAATGTGTAGAACTCTTCGAGTACTATATGCCTATAAAAAATCACGTTGATCGGATATCGATAGTTATGTGATCAAATCAGTTTTTTGTCAACCGTTAATTTATTCACCGTCCATTTTTTTTATACAAAACTAATTTGATCACAAAGCTATCGATATCCGATTAATGTGATTTAATTTCAATTTTGGAAGATGAAATCAAATATTTAATATTCCCTCCATATGATTTTAATTTAAATAATTTGATTGAAAGGAGAGCAAAATTTTTGAAGGGATATCAAATTTTCAATATTCCCTCCAATACCTATTATCATGCCAAAAAGTAAGAAAAAAATGTTACCTTTATATCTATACATATTATGCCAAATTGGCCTCCAAAACCTCAAATAAAATTCTTATCTAAATAAAAATAAAATAAAATAAATCATCAAATAAAATTTGATAAATTAAAATTTTTAAAAAACATTCAAAAAGTACCTGTTGGCTAACCTCCTTTAAAATCTTACTTTGTTACAACTTTATTTAAATTATTTATTAAATAAATAAATACTTATTGGCTTACAACAAAATTTATAGATTTTTTTTTTCCTCCAAAAAGTGCATATATTAGCCAACCTCCTTTAAAATCCTACCCAATTTACAAATCTATCAAATTAGCCAAATTTAGAAAAAAATTAATTGACTGACTAAACAAATATTGAATTCAGAAAGTAAAATAGTATACAAGTCCATTTTTAAGGAGTCAGGATCCTCTAGAGTGATTTTTTGGAAGTTTGGTTATCACAAATATCATAATTAAATTTTTTTTCAACTCAGAATTAGAATAAAAATGAATTATAACCAAACACCAACAAAAAGTATAATTAAGAAGCTCTTGTATCATAACCAAAATAATCAAATGTACATCTATTATTATAACATTAGCAATTAGAGTCTATTTGAACTAGCGTTCTACCCGTGCTATGCACATGTTCTGTTTATAATTATTTGTATATATGTAAATTGCAATTTTTTTTTCCACACAAAAAAAGGAATATAACAAATGAAGCAAATCTTCAATCAATTATTTTATGTTTGTTTTTATTCAAAATTTAAAAATAAGGTACAGGGCAAAATTTATAACTGAATTAAGAAAAAAATTATTCCTAACGACATTTTTTTACTTCTATATAAATACTTAAAAAAATAAACCTAAAAAGATAGTCAATATAAATATTATACATTAAGTAAAAAAATGTGGTTAGCAATTATACTTACATAAATTTACTATAAAATCTTGTGTATTCATTTACTTGATGCGTATATTTTTGGTACTTCTAATTCTAAGAATGACATTGAAATAATTTGCACTTCTTTCATTAGGTCCATCTAATAGTTTTAGCAAGCACATATGTAATAAATTTTATAACACAAAACACAGACAATTGTGAGACAAAGAGATGTGGTTTGAGACATTTCAATTGTTGAATTCTATTAATTAATAGTTATTAGGCTTCAATGATTGGGCTTCTAATATTTTTTAGCCATTAAAACGGAGTTTTTTTATTCTATCTATATTCACTTAATAATTTGAGAGTGGACACATCTCAAGTTTTTATACAAATACTTGGCACATTTTTTGAGCATTATTAATGAAATGCACAGTGTAATTTTTTTTTCTCTTTTTTTTCGCAATTGCAACATGTTATTTTTTTAATAAGAATTTATATTTGTTTTAGATATTTTTTTTAATATAAAAATTATTTTTTTTAGATTTGAATGAAATACACAGTATAATTTTTTTATTTTTTATTTTTACAATTACAACTTGTTATTTTTTAATAAAAAATTATATTTATTTTAGATATTTTTTTAATATACAAATTATTTTTTACAGTGTAACTTTTTTTTCCTTTTTTTTCCGCTATTACAACATGTTATTTTTTAATAAGAATTTATATTTGTTTTAAATATTTGTTTAGTATATACATTATTTTTTTTAGATTTTTTATAAAAATTAAAAATAATTTAACAATCCCGTCCCTAACTATAGTGTATGGGAGAAGTTGAAAATGGTGCGGCAGCAGGTATGGAAGAAATCAAAAAGGCTCATGGATTGAGAAAAATCAATAAATACTGACATTTTTTTTTAAATCAAAAAATTAAAAAATTAAGATTAATGTATTAGAACTCCTATAAAACTTGTGAGTTAAAATCTCATTTCTCTTATATTATATATTGATAGATTATAGTTGCGAATGTATCACTGATTGGTCACAAAAACTTTATGTGAACCATTGATATCAACTAATTACAGGCGGCAACCCTTGTTTGGGACTAAAAAATAGCCTTAAACCCTAAAAAAGTTAAATAGTCTTAAACAATAGCCTAAGCCACTAATTTATATTTTTTTTTAAAAAGAAAAAGAAGTGAGATTAGGGACAGCCTACCACTATCACATTGACAACCTATCCCACAGGTAGTAAATGAAAATTTTGCCCCTTTTAGACCAATTTTGAAAAAAAGTGAAGTTATGGACAAATTTGTCATTTCAGTTTCAAACATTATTTCAAATACATTTTTTAATAGAATAATCAATCAAAAAATTCAACCTAACTTCCCTAACACAAAAATTAAAATAACCTATTAAAATAATCAAATAACTAAAAAATAAAAAATAAAAAATAAAAAAAAAACTACTTCCGAAACTAGGCCTAAATGAGAAATTATCATGTTAAAGTAGGCCAAATTGGCTAAAGCATGGGCCGAACCAAAGCAATAAAGCTACAGAAATTCAATTTTAAAACAAAAGGGTAGCTTATGTGGTATAAGGACCCCCAAACTTGAGATTTGAGTGCGAATTTCATCTCCTCTTCGAAGTTAGAATATATATTTGTGTTGTAAATAATATAATATTTCTAAAATAAATTTTTTTTAAAAAAAAAACTCTTAATTTTAAAACTTTTGAAATAACAATTATAATTTAAAAGACGATATTACCTTCAACTATAAAAATAAATTTTCTTTTCTCAAAATAAAAAATAAAAACAGTACAAAGTAATTACTAAATCTATGTGGGAATATAAAACCCTTTCAGGAATATAAATATATATTTTTTAAAAGTAATTCCTAAATCTAGGGTAACTGCTATGTTTGCCAATAAACCCATACACTAAAAAAATAAATACATAAATAAATAAAATAACATGTTCAATTGTTGTTAAGCTAAAATTGTTCAAGAGGTGCATGCAACCACAAATGAATGAGGGAGGGCGTGCATTAATACCGTAACTTACTACTATAAAATATATTATGAACTTACCCTTATCAGTTCATAATTTATTCTGAATGTGTTTGTATGATGGAGATTAAATTGATAAAATGTGGAGTCTATGAGTAAAATAAATTTAAACTATTAATTCATTTTTCTGAATAAATTTTGGGTTAATAAATCGAAATTTGTAGTGTTGTATTACTATTATTATGACTAATAACTTGTGCAGGAGGAGCTATGGATGAAATTGAGTTGTAAAAATCTAGGGAGTAATCCATTCTACTTTCAATCAATTTTGATATTCTCATGCGTAATTTTTAAATCTTTCTCCAAATTTATAGTCCAAACACAGTTTAAAGAAAAAATCCAAGTGATCAGCAACCAAAGATGCATCTCGCTAGCTTGGAGCAATTGCAACTGGTATCTTTAGAACAAATTTGAAATTAATTAAATCATACATTCAGTAACATGATTAAATAAGATTGGTTAATAAATTGGATAAAACAAACTTGGTTAGTAAATTTATAGTTAAAAATGCAAAAGTTTAAAAAAATTAAATAAAATTTGAATTATCAACTAGTTGAATTCTGTCGACAAAAAAAACAAATCAGTTCATATTAAAATTCTGCTTTTGGACATTTATGTATATGTATGTATGTATAAGAGACCTCATATTAAAAATTGACTTTGAGCCCCGAAAAAAACAGAGCCGATCCTGCTGATATAAATTTATAAACAGTTTCCACAGGCCACCAGCTATGGAGGGACTTGCAGGAAGGAATGTCAATCATATGAAAAACTTCAATTTCACCCTCTGTTAATAAGGTGCTGCTGAATGTTAGAATACGTGTTCAAGTTTGAGGGTAGCTTTCTCTGTTGCAAATATAGGTTAGCCCCTACATCCAACCCAACCCAACCCAACCCAACCCAACCCAACCCAACCCTTTCGGTACTTGATTGACAGGCACCGATAAAGGTATGAGTGGCTTTAGGTGTCATTGCATGGTTACAGCGTTAAAAATTCAACAAAAAAAAATTAGAAACAAAAAGAGTAGAAAAGACTCAGTTGTCACTCCGATAATGCTCATTAATCATTTTCTAACCAAATATTAATTTCTAAATTCAACCCTTTTCAACTACTACATTCCAAAAGTCAAAAATGCATCAGTAGGCTCTTGAGGCCATGCATGACCATTCTGAAACATAAAATACCAATCAGTAATCAAGAAACAGAGTAACCTTTTTAAACATAGCATATGGCAGTTCTAATCTCCAATCCTTCTGTTTACGGCTTAACAGTCTTCCTTTTGCTGACGGGTCTCTGTTTTCCTTCACATCTGCCAGCCTCCATACGCAGCTCCCTGATTCAGTTTTAATCGAGTCCAGGTAAAATACTCCATTTTTTTCCAGACATTTAGATTCTAGATCTTCTACATAGCTTACTCTCATAGGCATGCCTTTGAATCGATTCATGTCATCTGGAACTTTCAGTAACCGCTCTGCACTGGGAGATGACACCTTCAAAATAAATAAAAGAAAAAAGATTTTCTTTAAATATCTAAGTGCTTCATGGAAGATTTCTTTAAATCACTTGTATAATAATATGAATGTGCATGTATCCCAGCAATTAGGGCTCAGTGTTTGAGCTTGGTTTGTTAAAAATTAGTAGAACTTGGGCTAAAGTCAAGCTTAAAAAATCAAGCTCGATCTCGGCTCGTCAGGTATTTGAGAAACTCGAGCTTGGACTCGATTACGTAAGCAAGCCAAACTTGAACTCGAAGGAAAAATCAAACTTAAATTAAATTGCATACTAAGAGAAAAAGGTGGAAAATTATGAGTAAAATATAAAAAGAATGTTCATATTAACAATAAATTCTATCAATCAAATATGTAAATTTACACAATCATCAAACATAAAGAGAGAAATAAAATATATTTAATAAATTATTAAAAATAAATATTAATTCGTATTCCTTGTATTCACGAGCCTAAAAATCGAGTTTGAGCTCATTCATTTAGTAAACGAGCCAAGCTCAAATCAACTGAGCTCTTCATGAGCAGATCAGTTTGTTTGCCACACTACCCTCCAATATTGAAGAAGCAATGAGGAGCATAAAATAAGTTTTACCTCAAGAGCCAAATCATCAGGTATTTCTCCCAATGCCCCAACTTCGTCTAATCTTTTTTTGTATTGGTGGCTGTAACTTTCAAATTTAATAAATTATTAAAAATAAATATTAATTCGTATTCCTTGTATGCACGAGCCTAAAAATTGAGTTTGAGCTCATTCATTTAGTAAACAAGCCAAGCTCAAATCAGCTAAGCTCTTCATGAGCAGATCAGTTTGTTTGCCATACTACCCTCCAATATTGAAGAAGCAATGAGAAGCATAAAATAAGTTTTACCTCAAGAGCCAAATCATCAGGTATTTCTCCCAATGCCCCAACTTCGTCTAATCTTTTTTTGTATTGGTGGCTGTAACTTTCAATTTCCTTCATACCAGGACAACCATATCTGATGAAAGATGGTGGTGCATCAAACAAAATGAAACAAAAGCCCAAAGAGAAATAATATTGCAACTGTGATGCTTGTGGATGACTACAATATTTCATGAAATGAAAATTAACTAATAAAATCATGGAATTTTAGCGTCGAATTATTATTAATAATAGGTTCTTCCAATTGACATCACCAAGCAACAAGGTTCAATCTAATTTAATGGGTGGAGTATTTACAAAATGCCATGGTTGCATGAATGCTTAATGTTGTTACTCCACATTCTTGAGGAAATTCATGACAATAATGATTAAGATATATGTTTTGCTGAATTTTTATATGCGTAACATTTGAGATAGGATTTGTCAGACAACAGTCCCACAATCTTATGCTGCATAGAGCAGATCATACAAAAATATGATTGACTACTCATGGTTTCTATTCTTCTCAAATAGGAGAAAAAGTTGATTGGGGCTCTTGTGAGTAGGGATGGCAATGGCGGGCAATAGGACAAATATAAATTCCCCGTCCCCATTCCCCTATTATAATTTTTCCCCATCCGCCATGGGTACTACCCTTCCCATCCCCTAACAGATTTGGGATTTCCCCAACCCGACTTTTTAAATTAATTTTTTTATTTTAAATTTTTTTCTAAAAAAAATTTTTTTATTTAAAAAATAAACTTATTTAAAAAAATTTAGAATTAGTGGTAGAAGTAGAGTCAAAACATATGAAGAAATGGGTGAGTACCCATCCCAATGGAGTTTTAAATCATGCCACTGACCTGACCCGATCGGTAGAAAAACGGGAAAAACTAGTCTATTTTGGGTCAAGTCTCCATGGGTAACCACTGGGTAGGGTCTGCATAGCCATTCCTACAGGTGAGAGGCTAGGAAACTACACCACCAAAATTGAGTAGGGGAAATTTTGAGAGGAAAGTGGAAATTTTCCTTAATTTTTATTTACAAATTGAAAAATCTCCAGGAATTCAATATCTAGTATGTAAAACTGTAATGCAACAAAGATGAAAGTATCTATGGGAGCATAGAAAATCTTACTCATTTGAAAGTTTGTCAAGTCTCACATAAATGTATCCCCGGGGAGTAGTCTTAAAAGCGTAGAGTTTCATATCATCACCAAACTGCAGCAGGATTTCATGGGCTATTGATAGAGCCCGTTCACCCCAAGGGCAATTTTGCAGGACAACTCCACCACCATCCCCTCCATCACCAATCTAAACTTTTTCAAATAACTAACATCAACTAAAACGGAATGGAGATGGCTAAGGTTAAATTGAGCAGCCAAAGTAACTATCCCAAAACAGCATACCTCAGGCTCAGCATCGTCCTCTTCTTCCCACAAATCAATGGGTTCTACCTCGTCATCCATTTCATCTGAAAACCTCAACAAACTCAAGTAAAGCAAACATCCAGCTAATATCAAAATATTTACAACAACAAACCAATAAATTAACATCAATACTGTAAAACGTCAAATAAGAAAGAACTTCATCATATAAGACCTAGTTGTTAATTTCCATCTCCATATCTAAGAGAAAAAATTAAACACACAAGGCCCTACTCTACAGTTCATTACAATGTAAAGAATGGCATAATTGCAACTGCTGCTACAACAGATACTAAGTGGCCAGTTTACATTTTCTAAACATCAAGAAGGGAAAGAAAGACAAGTTTCAACAATTTAAAATTGTAGAGATGAAGGGAGTTTACTTATGTCGTCTGGATCATAGTTTGCAATGTTATGAATAAGACTCCTAACCACTTCTTATTTGAAGTGTTCATTAAAAGGAAAGCAACGATGCTGGGTTGAATTTGCCAAAAGCCACTAGTCAAGTGCCTTTCCTTAAAATGTGTATGTACGCAAGTCGTCACTAACAAAATCATAATTGAAAGCACTACAATCATTCAAAAAAATAGCTAAACCAATGCCTGAAGATGAGTAATTCACGTTTGTTTCTAACTCTGATATTCCCAATGAAGGAAATAAGTCAGCTAACAAATCAAAACTATTTCTAGTTGCCAATATAGCACTTCTTGTTTTTTTGGGAGACACTGATTAAGCCAATTGAGGATGGAAACAGATGTCTAATATTCCAGTAATTCACTGTGGTGCCCTTTAGATGATTTCAAGGTGATCTTAGGGATAGAGAAAGAAGGACAACTTCATCTTCTTACTCTGCTCAAAACCCCTAAAAACATAAATTAAGGACAAGCATAACATACAGTCTTTGAGAAAATGGATCTCCACAAGCATTCCTTTCTTTTCACAACCATTTATGAATTTCAAAATATGTTTTATTGTTCATTAAAAAGTTACAAGCCAATCAATTGGTACCAGCTCATTGCTCCAATTTTTGTGATGACATTGCCTTGGTAAAAATGTCTACAAGCCGTTCATTAGTATTCCGACCTACTTCATGTTTGTGCACGTTATTCCAGAGTCGGTGGCGCGGCAGTTGGAGAGGCTTCAAAGGGATTTTCTGTGGGGTAGTGGAGGGGATAAGTTTAGGTATCATTTGGTTGATTGGGAGCAGATCTGTCAATCTAAAAAAAGGGGGGTTTGGGGGTTAGGCATTTGGTGACTTTTAATAGAGCCTTGTTGGGTAAGTGGTTGTGGCGTTTTGCTTGGGAGCAAGATAGTTTATGGCAAAAGGTGGTGGCTTCTAAGTATGGGGTGGGAAGGGGGGATTGGGTTTCTGGGGATATGACTGGTACTCATGGTTGTGGTCTATAGAAAGGGATTTGGTTAGGGAGGGTGGAGTTTTGGAATTGGGTAGGGTTTCGGGTGGGTGATGGGCGGAAAGTGCAATTCTGGAAGGACAGGTGATGTGGTGAGGTTTTATTGGAGGATCGTTTTCCTTTGATTTTCAATATTGCTGTTGATCGGGAGACAATGGTGGCATCTTATTTGGGGGACGGGGGTGTGGTGGTTTAGGACGTTCAGCTTCAGTAACAGGTGCAAGATTGGGAGGTTACTCAGCTAGTGAAGCTGTGGGATTTTTTGCATGGGTTAGGGATTATTGGAGTGGGGCAGGATGTTATGGTGTGGAGTGGTGCAAGCGCAAAGAAGCGGTTTTCAATTTCTTCATTTTATTGGGGTTTGTTGGGGGAAGTGCAAAGGGCTTTTCCATGGAAGAATATTTTGGTGCCGGGTGTTCTGTCTAAGGTGGTTTTTTTCATGTAGACGATGGCTTTAGGACGGAATCTCACATTGGATAACTTGATGCAGCATAAACATGTTTTAGTGAATCGGTATTGTATGTGTTGTGCGAATGCTGAGTCGGTGGATCATTTGTTTCTTCATTGTTCAATGGCTTCACGATTATGGGGTTTTATTTGTTCGCTCTTTGGGATTGTTTGGATTCAATCAAAGGGAGTGTTGGATATGCTTTAGAGTTGGCGGGGTGTTCGGATTGGATGTCGGCGTCAACGGGTGTGGGTGTTGGCACCATTTTGTTTGATGTGGCTTGTTTGGTTGGAGTAAAACATGCGAACTTTTCAAGAGGATGGTGCTTCTTGGTTAGAGAGTTGTCTTCTAGTAGTTTCGTATAGTTGGATGGAGAGAAAGTTTGATCCGGATATATTTGCTTTTTTAGATTTTTTGGATGATGTAATTGGTTAAGGTTTTTTTTGTGCCACTATACGGGGTTGCCTTTTTGTATTCTTTGCATCATCTTGATGCTTTCTAATAAAATTTGTTTATTTATCAACAAAAGAAAATGCCTAATGAAGTGATGGCGTAATTCAATGTGCTTTGTTCAAGCATGAAAAACTGGATTTTTTTGTCATGGCAATGACAGGTATGTTGTCACAATAAATTGTTGTGGGATCTATTTGCTCTTGATGTAGATCTGCAAGAATTCTTCCAAGCCATAGCTTCACAAACGACATCGGTGGCTATAATCTATTCTGCTTCAGCTGATGAGAGAGACGCCATCTTTTGCTTTTTGGAAGACCAGGAGATTACTTTTGAACCCATGCAAAACACATATTCAGATGTGTTGTTTTCTTCACATCCTTGATCAAAAAATTTTGTGCCTCACAAATACCGTAGTATTCACTTAGCTGTGGAAAAATCGATTTGAATGGGTTCAGTAATGAATCTGGAAATCATGTTGACTAATATCTGGCCTAGTGTTGGTGAGATACATAAGTGATCCAACCAGGCTGTGATATAGTGTTGGGTTGACTTTTAGCGCTCCATCTTTTAGCTAAAATTTTACATTTTTCGCCATGGTTGTTGAAATTGGCCTGCATGTTGACATCTTGAATCTGTTCAGCAAGACTTTTGTGTAATTGTCTTAAGAAATAACAATTTCTCCTTTTGCCTGCCACACTGGAATGCCCAGAAAATATTTCTTAAGGCCAAGATATATCATTTCATATTCTTTCATTATAGCCTTTTTGAAATCATCTAGCATCACAGAATTAGTGCCTGTGAAATTTAAATCATCAACATAAAGGCAGACGATGAGAAAATCTTTGGTACCTTCCTTTTTCACACATAGTGATAGCTCACTAAGAATTCTTGAAAACCACTATGAAGGAAGTATTTGTCTATCTTATTGTTCCAAGCACGTGGAGCCTGTTTTAGGCCATAGAGTTCTTTTCTTAGCAGATAGACCATATCTTCTTTTCCACATAGCCTTGTGGTTGCTCCACATATACTTCTTCTAGATCACCAGATAAAAATGCTGACTTCACATCCAACTAGTGGACCAGCAATTCCAGTTGTACTACCAGGCCTAAGACTGTTATGATTGTCTCCATTCAGACAACTGGTGCATAGGTCTCAATGAAATCTACTTTAGGTTGTTGTCAGTAGCCTTTTGCAATAAAACGAGCTTTGTACTTTTGAACTGAGTTGTTTTCATTTAGTTTGGTTTTGTAGATCCATATTACCCTAACTACATCTTTTTGTTTAGAATGATCCACAAGCCCCCAAGTGTGATTTTTTAAAATTGTGGACATCGCTTCATCCATTGCTTTTTGCCAGATTTGATTTTTAGCTGCTTCTTCAAAATTTTGTGGCTCACAAGAGAAAAATGCAAAATTGCATCATTCATAAATTTCTCTTAACGGCCATACCTTTCTAATAGGTGATTCTGAATCAATTTTTGAGTCACTTTCTTCAAAAGGTCTTTGTTGTGGAACTAGTGAATCTGAATTGGAAGAACTTGGCTCACCTTGGTCTAGATGTATGAATTTTTCAGTCTCATGGGAATTTTTTCAGTCCCATGCTTTCATTTCATCAAAATGCACATCCCTTGAAGTCACTAATTTGTTGGTTTTTGGACCAAAAAGTCGATAACCATTTGATTCGTCACATTAGCCGATGAAGAGGATTTTTTCTATCTTTTAGTCAAATTTTTCCTTATATTGAGAAGGAACATGGGAATATAAAATGCATCCAAAGACTTCGAAAAAATTTACCATCGCCTTGTGGTTGTGCCAAGTTTTATAGGGAGTTTTGTTGACAAGAGCTTTTATTGGAAACCGGTTTAGGATGAAATCAGTAGTGTTGACTGCTTCTGCACAAAGTTGATTATGGTAAAAAAACAAAGTGGTCATTGTTTGAAGGTGCTTAGAACAGATCATGGTGGAGAGTTTTTGTCTAAAGAATTCACAAGTTACCACAAAAATGAAAGAATCAGGTGCCAATCGACCATTCGCCACACTTGGCAAAATGGAGTGGCAGAAAGAAATAACAGCACCATTGTCAAGATGGCAAGGAGTATGCTCATGACAAAAAGTCTTCCCAACAATTTTTTTGGCAGAGTAGTCAACACTACTGTCATCCTGAACCAATCTCCAACAAAAGCTCTCGTCAACAAAACTCCCTATGAAGCTCGGCACAACTGCAAGCTGATGGTAAATTTTTTCAAAGTTTTTGGATACATTGCATATTCCCTCATTCCTTCTTAATATAGGGAAAAATTTGACCAAAGGGGAGAAAATTCATCTTCATCGGCTACCGCGACAAATTAAAAGGTTATCGACTTTTTTTATCCAAAAACCAACAAATTGGTAACTTCAAGAGATGTGCACCTTGATGAAATGAAAGCATGATGACTTGCATACTGTTAAAAATAAAATTAATTTGTAATACAAATTGCCAAGTTGCCATCACAAGTTGCCAAGTTGATATCTCAAGTTCATTTATGTGTGAGATTATGAAAGATCTTTGTTAGCAACCTGTAGATACTTGGCTTATTTTTATTGGTTGAAAGAGTTGGCAACAATGCCTGTATAAAAGCATGTTCTTTCACTTGTAAACACACCAGCAACAAACAAAGCAATAGCAATACAAAGCAATGCGCTCTCTCTCTCTCTCTCTCAAAATTGCTCTCTAGAATATTTGGTCCCACTAAAATTCACATTTACACTTTGCACCAAACATATTTTTGGTATTAGAGCAAGTGGAACTTTTGCTCACCAAGCAATCTTAGGAAAAGGTAATCCGTGCATTTTTCCAAATATGCATCCTTCACATGTTTTGTCACTTTGTTCAATCTTTGGAAGCCCAGTTACCATGCTCCTTTGTCTCAGTTGTTCCAGTCCATTGAAGTTTAAATGACCATATCTAAAATGCCATAGTATGGAATCATTGATTTTGTCAACTTTCAAAATTTTCATATAGTGGCATTGTAAGTGGAAACACTTTGTTTGGTGCCATTTTGACAGTTGCCAACAGTGAATTTTGTTTGTCTTTTATTTTGCGCTCATCTCTAATAAAATTTACTAGGTACCATTTTTTAATCAATTGACCAACAAAATTTTGACCCAAATCAAGGACATATAAAACATCATCAATGAGTTTTGTTTTACCTCCCTTGGTTTGTACAGTTTATTTGCCTTTGAGACTGGTTTTTGCTTTCCGTCTCCCAATTTGACTTGGAAGGAGATTTGGTTGTCCATTTGGACAACGCACTTCTGGTTCCCCATCATGTGGTTTGCTACATTCACTGTCCAGGAACCATGTATTGAGTGCATCATGTTGTGTGCTCATGCAAGAGAAGATCACTTGAGCTGGGCCATTTTGAAATTTTTGCTTCACTTTTTTTGATCTTTTTCTGATACTAGTAGTCCTTCTGTGAATGGTTAGGAATTTTGCACTTGGTACATCTGAAATTACAATCCTTAGATTGATGATTAGATTTACCACACAAGTGACAGCTAAAGCCAAATTTTGTGTTACCAGCTCAATTTGTTTCTTGGTGGAAATTTCTTCTCCCTCTTCCTCGACTGTGGTTACCAAAATTCTTATGTCCTGTTCTTTGTTGTTGTGGTTGAGCTATGCCACGACTTTTGTTTTTTGGTAGTCTTCTTTATGTGATATTGAGCTTTGATTGGAAAGTTTGTTCAATATCTGCTCATGCACTCGGCCCAGTGAATCTAGCTATTCTTTTTTCATGGGCTTCAAGAGAACCCATGAGCTCATGAAAAGTGAATTGAGACAAAGTCTTTTGACTCCTTAATCACAACAACAATACATTCAAATTTTTGTTGCAAACTTCTTAATATTTTTTCAACAATTTTTCTCTCTTGGATAGTATCTCCATAACTTCTTATTTGATTTATAAATTATGCAACTCTTTTAGAAAAAGATTGGACGGCCTCATTTTCTTTCATGGCTAGATTATCAAAATCATGCCATAACTTTTTCAAAACCTTGGAATTCTTGTTTTAAAATTTCCCAAACATCTCTAGAATATTTTGCACCAATTATTCTAGGAAAAATAGATTTGCTTACCCCTATTGTATGTTGAGTGACGCCTTTACATCTTTTTTCTTATTCTCTTTGAACTCCTTTTGTTTGCCTTGTGTCTATGATGCTAATGTTTCCTGATCTCCTAGTGGCTGGAACAGGGAAACCTTCCTCTACTATCTCCCATAGATCTTGAGAAATAAAGAGGGTCTTTATTTGAATACTCCAATAACCATAATTTTTCCCATCAAATATGGGTATTTGATTTGAAGTATAGTTAAAGGTACATGGACAAGGTTTAGAGTAAAGGGTATGAACAAAAAAGGGGTTTGGCTCTGATACCAAAAATATGTTAGGTGCAAAATGTAAATATGAGATAACAAGCCAAGTATCTACAAGTTGCTAACAAAGATCCTCCAAAATCTCACACACATGAAGCTGAGATAACAACTTGGCAACTTGTGATGGCAACTTGACAATTTGTATTACAAATTAATTTTATTTTTAACAGTACGCAAGTCATCACTAAAGCACTACTATCATCTAAGAAAATAGCTAAACCAATGCCTGAAGATGAGTAATTCACTTTTCTTTCTAACTCTGATATTACCTATTGTTATCAAAATTGCTATCCGGATCGTAGGATGGTACAATCCCATGGTCCTAAATTGTCAAAACCATCCAAATCATTGTATGATTGATATTATAGTATGATCGCAAGTACGATCATATGAGATCGTAGGGGATTGTGTAGGATTGTAGGTAGGAATGTTGGATTTATCATTTTTCACCTTATTTTTAATAGAAATTAGAATCTTACGATCCTCAATACTATCCATGAGACCCTCTCACCGAACCTATATAGGATCCCGATTTTAACAATCTTGATATTACCAATGAAGGTAATAAGTCAGTTAACAATCAAAACTATTTCTAGTTGCCAATATAGCACTTCTTGTTTTTTTGGGAGACATTGATTAAGCCGATTGAGGATGGAAAGAGATCTAATATTTTCAATATTTCACTGTGGTGCCCTTTAGACGATTTCAAGGTGATCTTAGAAACAGAGAAAGAAGGATGACTTTGCCTCCTCACTCTGCTTCAAGCCCCTCAAAACATAAATTTAGGGCAAACATAACATACAGTCTTGAGAAAATGTATCTCCATAATCATTCATTTCTTTTCACCACCATTTATGGATTTCAAAATATGTTTTTATTGTTCATTAAAATGTTACAAGCCAATCAATTGGTACCAGCTCAATTGGCCAGAATCCTTACTAGTAATACATCTTCACACAAGTATGAGAGGCAACAATGTTTCGGGTGAAGATGAGCATTTGAAGCTTGGGGAAGTTGGTTTGGTAAGTTTATATGGTGAACCTAAAATAATACTAAAGTTGGAAGTAAAAGATTGAGCCAATCTTATACACAAGATTATTCACCCATACAACTTCCCAATGGGTTTTTTTGCCATCAACATGCACATGAAAAGAAAACTCATTTGGATTGAGTGATTTGGTGAGAAATGATAAGAAATGAAGAGAAAGATAACTCTTTTCTCATGTTTGGTTTATAGGTTAGGTAAGAAATTAAGAGAAATAGTTTATAGGTTTCATTTCTCACCAAACGGTGAAAATTGGTGCAATATGAACTTATTGGTTGTGTATTTTTTATAATACCGAGATTATCTATTAAAATAAAAAAAAAGTTCAAAAAAATCACCCATGTACTTGTATTAATAATTACATACTTTGTTTTCCTGCAAGTCCAAAGATGATAGTGAAACATTTCTTTTGTATTCACACATAGATGAATTTTCTTCTTTCAAAATAGATGACACCACAATCATTTATTTTCTTTTCTCCCACCATCCAAACAGAGCGCTAGAGTGTAGGCTCCCTTCGGACAGCATTTGCTTCCCAAAGTGGGGAGGAAAAAAAAACAATTTTCTGTCAAAAGCAAAATCGAAAAAGTGCTTTCCCCAAAACTGGGTTACTAGAAATTTAATCAAACACTTGGACGACATACCGTAGGGAGAGAAAACCAGAAAATATTAATCAATCAAAACAAACACAATCCACGGTTCTTGAACATTGTATATATATATATACTCAGAAATGCATAAAATTAAACACGCAAGAATAATTAGTCGGCGACAATAACAGGAAAGAATGAACTTACGCTGAAGTGGGGTTTCCTGATTTTGATCATCAATATCTTGAGGCGTAGTAGTAGTGGTGGTGGTGGTACTTAGGTACCGAAGAAGAAAAGATGAGGTGGATTTTGAAGGAACAGAAAAACCCACATGGAAAGCGTAATGGTTACAGTAACAACTAGAAGAAGAAGAAGAAGAAGAATGGAAAGCGTAATGGTTACAGTAACAACTAGAAGAAGAAGAAGAAGAAGAAGAAGAAGAAGAAGAAAAGGGAGAGTGACGGTTTAAGAGGGTTAAGGTTTGTTGGTGGGTTGAGAGAGAGGAGCTCCTGATTGAGGACAGAGGTGATTGATGAGCTCTGTAACTTCTTTTGTAGACTAGTTGTGACAAACTCTTAATCCTAATGCTCATCCTCTCTCTCTCTCTCTCTCTCTCTCTCTCTCCCTCCCTCCCCTCTCTCTTGAACCTCTGTATAATAGGGTAACAAACAGCAATTCTTACTCGAGTGCAGCTGGAAACCCCCAGTGGGGTGACCCCAGCACCCCCACGTGGGGGGCAGCCACAGGAGGATTCAAAAAAAAAAAATATGGACCAATCACAATTCACTGGGTGGTGGGGTCTGAGTCTGTTCCCTTCTTACTCCATCTATATTTGAACCATTTGTTTTTGGCTGATCAATTTATGTGAACATTTGTCTTTTATTTGAAAATATATATATGAACAAAACAAATATCTTGTATTTAAATTTACAGTGATGATAGAGACATCTAATTTAGAGATTTTAAATGCACCTCTAATGAGGTGAAAAATAAATAAATAAATAAATAACAAACAGACACAGCACTGATAATGACAGTGAGTGGGATCCACTGCTACATCACTAGTGACACCTCTAATTAAAGGTCTCAAACATTTTTGTTAAATTTGTTATAAATATATGAATAAAATTTTTTATTAAAATAATAATAACAATAAAGGTAATTTACACAAACCACTTTTGAAATTTACCAAAAATTATCATATATGAATCAAGAAACCATGTGGTAAAAAAACCACATCTCTCATTCCCTTCAATTTATTAACATGTTGGTTAATGTTTCCTTTTTCTTCTTTCTCTTTCCTTACCAAATCTACCACCCCCATAGTCCACCACCTTGTCCCTTCCCCAGGCCTCCCCTTCCTACACCACCCTCACCTCAAATGACGGATTTTATAAGAAGAAAAAAAGAAGGAAGTGACAATTAAAAGATCAGAAATACTATATTTTCTTAATTAAAGCCTCCAATTTCATTCCTAATGACATGATTAAGACTTATGTAAAATAAGCTTACATTCCTCTCTCTCTCTCTCTCATCTTTAACCTCCCTACTTAAGAATACTGGTAACTAATACTATAAACGTAGAATAGATCGAAGAGTATCACAAAGGTTTTGAATTGTTTGTTGCTCTTGCTCAATTGCAGCTGATGAGGTGCCATCTCTTCATAACACCTGCAACATCAACCACAAATTAAACCAATTTTAAATACTAGCTTTTATTTTAAAAACTCAAGTCCTTATAAAATGGGAAGAATCCAACAATGACGACCATCCCCAATAAAAAGCTTGTGCACTGCTTCCACAGCTATGATTCCACCACCATCTTGCTGCCATCCTCCAAGCACATTATTGTCTGATAGCAACGCTATGGGTGATACATCTGTAGCCCTCAAGATTGGAATAGGGACTGTATTACCAGCGGCGTATATTGACCGCAGTTACAATGAAACAAACCCTAAGTAATCAGGCATCTAATTCGAACTCACAAACATAAGAATACTGGTAAATTACTTCAACTTTTCGTGAGATTTGAAGAAAATATAACAAGTCTCACCATTTTGATATAATTATAAGCTAAAGGTATTGAAACTAATGCAAATGGTATGAAGACAAAACGATAAATAAGATAAAATACACATTTTAGTATAAAAAAATATGACAATATCATTATTTGTCTATACGACAAACAAATTACTGAAAAAATAAATGTTGTGTGAATTAAAATTTTAAGAGTACTTATGTCACACTTGTGAGCCTTACTATATTTTCTCCAAACCTCTTCCGTCAATATAATTTACCATTAGAATTATGAAAAGCCTTAAAGAGGGGCACAGAGCTTACTAGAGAGATCAATAGAGAAGCTAAAAAATCCATGCACGACCCTCCTGCAATTAAGCTTCATTTATGAGGATGGGGTTGAACTTGAGAGTCAATATGTGCAACTATTGAGCCAAAGATTTGGACACAATCCAAAATGGATTGACATAAAAACAATGGCAGATTCAGCAGTGAAAAAATGGAGTGATAGAAATAGAGATGAATTACATTGACCTCTCTTGACAATTGGTATAAATACAAATAACGCCACTAGTTTGAGAAAAATACACTGCCAATCCTTAACATATTACCAACTAACAATATTACCCTCTTTTTTTTCGTTTTTTTCTTTTTCTACTTTGTTCTTCAGCTCAGGCAACCTCCTCTCTTCCCTCCACCACCACATAGTCCACCGCCACCTCCCTTTCTCAACAATTCTGGCCGACCACCACCTCCCCAATTTTTTTCAACGATGCTTCATCATCTCTCTATTACGAGTCTACAACCCCCCACCCCGCTGCAAACCTTTCAAAAACATTTTGAATATTTACATAAGAAAAAAATATATATAATGACTTATTTAACCAGATGTCAAATTTTTGTTTCTTTATTTTGTTTTCACAGATTATAAAAAATAAATAAATAAATAAAAAACTGCACCAAGCAAATTCATCTCTTATTTTAATTTTTTTTATATAATAATTAAAAAATTATAATAATAAAAACTAACATCTTTTTTATAGCAAACGAGACTATTATATATAGTCACTAATGTTATACAACTTTTTCTTACTTACATGAGTTTAAAAATTATTACTGTTTGACAGATTTATAAATTCTTTGAATTAAAAAAAAAAAAAAGCACTTGAAAAACTTAAGGGAAAATTAGTCTAAGGTCCCTCTCCTATTTTTTGTGGTGGAAGAGATCTACAATATTTATTTTGTAATGTCTGAAGTCCCTTGATTCTACACCCGTATATTCCAGAGAAAATTCACTTTCTCGCTTTCTTCTTTCCTCTGGCTAGGGCTTTCATCATTCTCTCTCTCTCTCTCTCTCTCTCTCTCTCTGATTCAATCAACCAAAATCGTTGCCTCCACTCTCACTCTCATTCACTGCCACACCCACCGAGTGATTCATTTGGAGCCAGATCTGTCATCATCGACTTCGTTAGCAAGTTCAGAGATTTGGGGCGGTTGATCGTCACGAAAGCGATCCTAGGTCACAAGTATTAGGTTTTCCGGCGACGATCGATCCATTTCTCTCTCTCACCACATATATGTGTATACGTATATGTAGTGAAAGATATGTGTATACGTATATGTGGTGAGAGAGAGAAATGGACTCCCACCGCAGGCCTCAATCCAACTCTATCAGTTGTGTACTGGGGTTGTTCACTGCCATAGCCATGGCGCTCTTCATAGGTAATTTTGTTCTTCTTTCATCGATTTGCCTCTTTGTGAGTGTTGATCATGATAAATACCGATCACATCACCAGTCATTACTCAAAATTTTGTGTTTGTGTGTGTATATATATGTGTGTATGTATTGGTTTGGGGCATGACATAGACCGGGGGGGCATGTTATGTGATATAATTTCTGACTCTGTTTCTTCAAATTTCCCAAGGTACTATTGACAGATCTTGTAACACTCCAGCCAATGTATAAATCATGGATCACATTTTGTTTGAGGTTTATGATTTTCAACCAGAAAAGATTGTGAGGGAGAATTTCTCTAGATTTGAAGAGGGGAAATTTCTCTGGTTTGAATGAATTTCTCTGGGTTTGGAGAAGGAAAATTTCTCTGGAGAGAAGGAAAAGCCAAGAAGGCCAAAAAAATTTCTCTTGAGAGGGAAATTTCTCTGAAGGCTAGAGAAGGAAAATTTCTCTGGAAAGAAGGGAAGACCAGAGAAATTTCTAAGTTTTCTCTGAAGAATTAAGTCCAGGAAAGGCAAGAAGGGCAGAGAAATTTAAAATTTCTTTGGAGATGTAATTTTGTGAAAAGGCAGAGAAATTTCTCCAAGAGAGTTGGAAGTATATGAAGGACAGAGAAATTTGGGAAAAAAAAAGGCAGAGAAATTTACAGTGAGAAGTTTAGGGAAGATCATTTCTCTGGACCAATTTTCTCTGTGACGTGAATTTTCTTTAGATTAACTTAAAGGATCTTAGACATTATTAAAATATTGAATGTCCTTTACGCTATAAAATCTTATTACTAGGGACCTTAAAAAAAATCCCCAAAACTTAATAGTTTTTTATACTAATTTCCTTGTATAGCCTATCAGTTTTGAACTATATATATATATATATATATGTAATCTATTTAATTATATAAAGCTAGCAATTCACTTTGGTGTAAATAACAAATTGAAAAAATGTCACTCTTTTTTCTCCCAAAAAAAATGTACAAATAACTCCTCATTTTTTGTTGATCAAAATGAGTAAACTTATAATATTAAAGCCTCCCGTTAATTTAATTGAAGACTAGGTTCTCAAAATAATTCCAACCGTCAATGTCAAATTTTTGCCCCAACATCTACAAGAAATAGAGTAAATAAAGTAAGACTTTGATTCTCTTCATTTTATGTATTTGATGAAAAAATTTCATTACAAATCTAATAGTTATAAAATAAGAATGTAAATTTATACTCCCTCCGTCCCATAATATTAGTCCCTTATTCCATTTTTTATTGTCCCAAAATATTAGTCCCTCTTCAAAAATCAAGTACAAAATAATATAAATTTTCCATTTTGCCCTTCTTTTAAATTCATAAATAATATAAAAAGTACAATTATGACATTGATATTCTCAAAAAAGTGTACTATCAAAGGGTAATTTTGGAAAACCAACTTTTTAAAAGTACAATAATTGTACTACAAAAAAAAATTGGATTCCCCAAAAGGGACCATTATTTTGGGACGGAGGGAGTAATTAATTTAAATTACAAAGAATAATTACACTCACTATTAGATGATGTAATGAAATCTTTCCATTACAAATATGAAATGAAGAAGATCACAATTCCAAACCCTAACTCTAAGCTGGTATTATGCATTGCGTATCAAATATGTGACCAACCCTAGGCTAGTATTAGGCATTGTGTATCAAATATGTGACCAACTACCTGCAAGACCGGGTTTGCTATAAGCAAAACAAACCAAACAGTTCAAACTTGACTTATATTTGGCTCATTAAAAAAATCAGCTCGTTAGGCAAATAACACGAAGCTTGAATACATTTTAAAAATCAATAAAGCTTTCACAGGCTCTCTCTTTGCAACAATAGCCCAATGGATGTATCAAGATTGCAGTCCATCGGAGTCCAGTACTGGAATGCAATTCAACAAGTCCCCTCCAAACAAACAGCAACCTATCATCTGCAAAAGAAATACCTACCCTCAATCCCTCATTTTCTTGCTGCCAGACATAAACAGTACATCAAACTTTTTGATAGGAAAATTTCAAGTGGAATAGAAGATAGTAA